AAACAACTCAATCTTGGTTTCATCTGTCCACAGTATATTTTGCCAGTAGTGCTGTGGAACATCCAGTTGCTCTTTTGCAAGTACTTCAAACGTGCTGCAATGTTCTTTTTGGACAGCAATGGCTTCCTCCGTGGTGTCCTCCCATGAACTCCATTCTTGTTTAATGTTTTCCTTATTGTAGATGTGTCAACAAAAATGTTAGCATGTGCCAGAGATTTCTGTAGCTCTTTAGCTGACACTCTGGGATTCTTCTTTACCTCATGCAGCATTCTGCGTTGTGCTCTTGCAGTCATTTTTTACAGGATGACCACGCCTAGGGACATAGTAGCAACAGTGCTAAACTTTCTCCATTTGTAGACAGTCTGTCTTACCGTGGACACCATGAACATCAAGGCTTTTGGAGATGACCAGAGACTGCGGTAACCCTTTCCAGCTTCATGCAAGTCAACAATTCTTGATCGTAGGTCTTCTGACTGCTCTTTTACTGCGAGGCATGGTTCACATCAGACAGTGCTTCTTGAAACCAGTAAACCCAAAACAGTGTGTGTTTTTTAAGGGCAGCAGACAGCTGTCAGCAACACATCCAATATCATCACACTCCCACTGATTGGAGTCAAGGTTGGCTCACTCCTGGCTCCAATGCCCATCTCTGGGAGAAGTCATTAAGTTAGGGCCTCACATACTTTTTCCTCCCTGCACTGTGAATGTTTACATGTTATGTGCAATTAAACCATGGCAACATCTAATGTTTGTGTAGTATTATGCTAAGCGGCAGCAGACTGTGTTCTTTTATTGTTGTGAGATTAGATGACGTTCAAAGCACATTTTATGCCCAATTCACTCCATAAGACGCATGCAAAATTTTCCCCCGTAATTGGGGGTTCACATACATTTTCTTGCAAAAAATGTATATTGTACATTCACATCAGTTCATAACCCTCAAGGGGTGTACAATCTAAGGTCCCTAACTCACATTCATACATACACATACTAGGGAGAATTTAGACAGGAGCCTATTAACCTACCAGCATGTCTTTGGAGTATTATAGTAAAATTAGTATTTTAAAAAATTATAGTAATTATAGTAAAATTTAAATTATATAAATGGCTGGTCCTTCCCCATCGTGAGCATCATTCATGGCTCCCTGTTAGATTGTAAATTGTACCAAGTTTACATGTTGTATCCTGTGCTGTATATTATTATGTGTACAAGCAGTATATACTATACCTACCCTATTATAATACGCAATGAAATATGATGGTTGTATGAAATAACAACGATAAATGATTTAACAAGAGAATGCAATCACACATTTTTCCCAAGTGGGCAATGGCCTTGTTCAGTACAGAAGAGCAAATTCTTTAACCCTTTCACTGTCAAAGCCGTTTTTGTGGGGTTTTTGAACAGGTTCAAAAATAATTTTAGCCTGAATTAGGTAAAACCCCTAAACATGTTATATTTTCCTGAAACAGAGACCCCGGAGAATAAAACTGTGGTTGTTCAAATTTTTTAAGCCATGCCCTATTTGCACAATGTTATTTTAAGTGCAAAATAAAACTTTAGGGAACACAAATGAATATTTATCCTCTTTTTTTTTGGTAAATAAATACAGTCAGGTCCATAAATATTGGGACATACACAATTTAACATTTTTGGCTCTATACACCACCACCATGGATTTGAAATGAAACAAACAATATGCGCTTTAACTGCAGACTGTCAGCTTTAATTTGAAGGTATTTACATCCAAATCAGGTGAACGGTGTAGGAATTACAACAGTTTGCATATGTGCCTCCCAAATATTTATGGATTTATGGACCTGACTGTACATGCCAAATATGTTGAGCTTTAAATTTGCACTCGCCCGCAAAATGATGACAAATTTTCGTACCCTATATTTTCCATTGGTGATGATTTGAAAAGTCCCTGCAGGGCCGGTGTTGCCACCTCATCTCTTTAACACCAAACACATATTATGGGACTGTAGGCAGTATGCTTTTTCCCTTCAACCAATAAAAGACATACAACTTTTACTTTGGGTAATAACTTGGCCGCAGGCTGTTTTATTATTGGTATATATGTAAATTATATTTTTTTTTAATAACTTTTTATTTGTACATATTAACCACTATCCCTCCCCCCCCCCCCTTCCTGACCAGGCCACTTTTTTCATTACAGCGCTGCGTTACTTTAACTGACAATTGCACGGTCATGCAACGCTGCACCCAAATGAATTTTTTCAGCTATTTTTTCCCACAAATTGAGCTTTCATGCAATGGTATTTGTTCGCCTGTATGTTTTTTATTTTTTGCACTATGAAAAAAAAGGCCAACAATTTTGAGAAAAAAAACTATATTTTTGACTTTTTGCTATTAAAAATGTCCAGTAAAAAAATAAAAAAAAACAAATTTCATCATAAATTTAGGCCAAAATGTATTCTGCTACATGTCTTTGCGAAAACAAAAGCCCAATACATGTAAATGAATTGGTTTACATGAAAGTTATAGCATTACAAATGGTGGTATATGTCTATCTATCCATTCAGTCGTATCCGACCCTTGGCGATTGCACGGACTGTCACTTGCAAGTGACTTCTTCCATGAATTCTCTTAGCAATTATTTTACAGGGTAGGTTGCCAGGTCTTCCCCCAAATCCTACCATGCAGGAGATCCTGCATGGCCAGGGATGAAACTAGGACAATTTAGACAGGAGCCAATTAACCTACCAGCATGTCTTTGGCGTGTGGAAGGAAACCCACACAAACACAGGGAGAACATGCAAACTCCATGCAGGAGTCACCGTGGTTGGGAATTGAACCCATGACCCAATTACTGCAAGGCAGAACCACTAAGCCACTGTGCTGTCCAGTGGTATATATACTGAACTTTTTATTTACTAGTAATGGCAGCAATCAGCGACTTATAGCGGGACTGTGGTGAGCATTCTGACACTGGGAGGAATTGACTTGGTGTCACTGACATCCCCAGTGACACCAATACAGTGATCAGTGCTAAAAAAAAAGCACTGACACTGTACTAATGGTACTGGGCAGGAAGGGGTTAACATGAGGGACGATCAAAGGGTTAACTGTGTGATGGGAGTGTTTTACTGGGGGCCGTGTCTGTGTGCTTCACTGTAAGCACACTGCTTTGGGTGGTTGTGCTGTGCACAGCCATCCAGAGCAGTGTGCCTGAGCCTATAGGGAGGACTGTTAGTAAACAAAGCAGCCCTCCTCCCCGTCAGAGATCCTCGGTAATCACTGGGTGCCGGCGGGCAATCACCGGGTGGGACCCGGTGATTGACAGCCCTGGCCGCGAATGGCGGTGTGGGTAGGGCACGCAAGCCCCCTACCCGAAAATACAAAATCACATGTATATATGTGATTTTGTGCACCCCTGCCTCCCTGTAGTATATCTGCTATAGGGTGGTCAGGATGTGCTTAAAGCAATATGAATATTTAAAAAAAAAATTTCTTAAAGTATCACTACACAACCACAGCTTAATCACTACGACTAAAGCTGTATGTATTAAAACAACTTATTAACCATACCTAAATATTGATCCAATCTCACTATAACTTAAATAGACGCACTGACTCGTCTTCCTTTAAATAAAGGTGACCTCACCAATAATAATTGGTCCGTTACAAAAAAAAAGGGGCGGGTGGGAGGGGAGCACCACAGAGATGCCTCCTAGGTATCTGCTCCCCTATGATTGGAACTCCCCTTTTTCATAGCCCTCTCATCTCTCCTAGTCCTCCTTTGATTGGCTTGTTTGCCTTCCAGGTTTTCCCCACAAACCCTAGGTGCAGTGGGGGCTTAAAACTCCCAATTTTCTAGAGACTTTTTATTAATAGTGGGGGGCTTGAAATTTTAACTTTTCTTCAACCTCTTACCACAAAGGGGGGACTAAAAACCTGCTGACCTCCTGGAAGTTTCTCCACTTTATATATACATTGGGGAGACTTGAAACTTGCCCCTGTCACAGTCTCATAGGAATAGGGGGGCCGTATATTTAATTCCCCCTTTTTTTTCCTAATTATGCAGGATCTGAGGATAATTTATTGCAGATAAGGCACTAAGTGAGTTCAATGACCACCTTAATCAGCCACAGAACCTGTGCAATTCATATGTGTTCGGTTTTAAAGGGATGAGGTGGAAACCCTAGTACTCGGCAGTATGTATCGTGTACTGCAAGCAATGTTTTGATACATAGGCACCCCCAATGGGTGCATTTACATTCATATGTGTGTGTACATATGTGTGCGTACATGGGGGTGTGACAGACTAAAACAAATTTGGGGGGGATTTGGGTGCTTTGGTATAATGTTATTTCTTACTTTTGTGTTGGATGTTGGAGAGATATACTTCCTAAAAATGTCTTCTATCTCTCAGGGATTTTGTAAATGAGATCTCTGTTCTGAGTTCATGGGTCAGCACATTTGCGGTGTGTCTCCCACCATTTGTGCCAAAATATTTATATTTTATAAATCATGGAGAACGCAACAGGAGTAGCTGTAGTATTAAAAAAAAGGTTGGAGAAATCACCCAAATCTCACAGGTAGGCAGGAAGAGTAGGACAAAAAGTTGTAGAGTTCCTGCTGTTGGAGCAATCACTGTTGGGTGGCCTGAACCATTAAATAGAATGTACAAGACAAGAAGGGATTGATTTACTAGAACCCATGACCCCCAACAGAGTGCTAAATCTGGTGTAGCTCCCCATAGAAACCTGAATCAGCTTTGGGGGTCCAGATGTGATTGACAAAGCTTAATTGAACAAGCTGAAGTTAGAAGGTGATTGGCCACCATGAACAGCTGCACTAGAGTTTGCGCTCTTCAGTTTTAGTAAATCAATCCCAATGAGTCATTCTGCTGAAGTGAAACTATTAGCACTTAGGAATAACTGTTGATTGACTAAATTAGGGATCTCCAATCTTTATAAACAAAGGTCCAGTATACTGTCCTTCAGACCTTAGGAAAGGGGGAAGGGGAGGTGGGACTTGTGTCTAGTGAAAGAAGAAAAATGTCCCGGCATCAGTATCATAAACAATGGCCTCTCATTGGTATAAGATGGGATAATAGCGGCCCATCATTGGTATCAGTGGGAGGAATAGTGCCCAATCATCATTGGTGTCAGTGGGAACGGAATAGGTGCCCCATCATTGGTATCAGTGGGAGGAATAGTGCCCCATCATTGGTATCAGTGGGAGGAATAGTGCCCCATCATTGGTATCAGTGGGAGGAAAAGTGCCCCATCATTGGTGCCATCACATGTACAATCCAAACGCACATGGGTGCTGCAGCGACTGTCGGCTTGAACTGAACAGAATCAGCAAAGGAGAATGTCACCAGCACACTGAGGATCACCAGTATGGGTCCAAAAGTTTTAATGAACGATCACATGTGACACATGCCTGCTGAAGGGGTCAGTTGCGAGATAGTTACCAAAATGTTGCCTTGCTGTAACTATGTGATCATTGTTCATTGGAAAATGTGGACCCATATTGGTGATCCTCGGTGTGCTGGTGAATATTGCCCCTTCCATCATTGGTGCCAGTCAGAGAATAGTGTCCCCATATTGTTAATATCAGTTGGAGGAATAGTACCCATCGTTGGTATCAGTGGGAGGAATAGTGCCCCATCGTTGGTATCAGTGGGAGGAATAGTGCCCCATCATTGGTGCTAGTGTACAATCCAAACGCACATGTTCCTGCTTTAAAAATAACTGTGTGTATTAATGGGTGCTGCAGCGACTGTCAGCTTGAACCGAACAGAATCAGGAAGGGAGAATGTCACCAGCACACCGAGGATCACCAGTATGGGTCCAAAAGTTTTAATGAACGATCACATGTGACACATGCCTGCTGAAGGGGTCCTGCGAGACTCCAAAATGTTGCCTTGCTGTAACTATGTGATCGTTTCATTAAAACTTTTGGACCCATATTGGTGAACCTAGATGTGCTGGTGACATTTCTCCTTTCCATCATCGGTGCCAGTCGTGGAATAGTGTCCCATCGTTGGTATCAGTTGGAGGAATAGTACCCCATCTTTGGTGTCAGTGGGAGGAATAGTTCCCCATCATTGTTATAAGAGAGAATAATAGTGTCCCATCTTTGGTACCAATGGGAGGAATAGTGCCCCATCATTGGTGCCAGTCGGGGAATAGTTGGAGGAATAGTACCCCATCTTTGGTGTCAGTGAGAGGAATAGTGCCCCATCATTGGTATAAGAGGGAATAATAGTGGCCCATCATTGTTATCAACGGGAGGAAGAGTGCCCCATCATTGGTGCCAGTCTGGAAATAGTGTCCCATCATTGTTGTCATTTGGAGAAATAGTTGCCCCCACCATTAGTGTGTGTGGGAGGTGTTAGGAATATCAATTTAGGGCCCTCTTCTCCATACAACAAACATACAGTTCAATGTACTTTGGGAACAATGCGACACAAATACCTAGATTTGTGATGCAGAATTCAACTTCATTATTATTGATCAGGCCTTAAGTAATAAATGATAACACTGTGTATTTCAAGCGGTTTCCATAAAGCACCAATCAGAATACTGTAAAGAGATTTCAGTAAACTACTCTATGGCTAGTCATGACAAAAATGCAACAGAGTAGTAACTTCTGCAATTTCCCAGAAAAAAAGTGTGTGCATAGATAACAGCATTTCAATCCCAAGGGAACATCTTGTATGTAAAATAAACCAGTTAGCAGGCACAAAGCAAAAGTGAGTGAACTATTAACCCTTTCAGAAGGAATAGTGCCACATCATTGGTATCAGTGGGAGTAATCGTGCCCCATCATTGGTGTCAGTGGGAGGAATAGTGCCCCATCATTGGTATCAGTGGGAAGAATAGTGCCCCATCATTGGTGTCAGTGGGAGGAATAGTGCCCCATCATTGGTATCAGTGGGAGGAATAGTGCCCCATCATTGGTGTCAGTGGCAGTAATAGTGCCCCATCATTGGTATCAGTGGGAGTAATAGTGCCCCATCATTGGTGTCAGTGGGAGTAATAGTGCCCCATCATTGGTGTCAGTGGGAGGAATAGTGCCCCATCATTGATGTCACTGTCATTGGCAGGAAATATATGCCACTGTTGCTGACACTTGCCCATTAATGCCCCAAAGGTCGGATAAAAATGCAAGCAAAGGGCTGCATCCAGGCCTCAGGCTGCAGTTTGGAGACCACTGGACTAAATCTAAAAGATGTTAGAGCGTAGGTAAAATATTTAAGTTACCAAAAACATGATCAGATATTACAAAGAAAACCACACTGGCCTTCCATATGTCAATATAAGAAGTTATGAGGGGATGGTCTCCTAACAAACTCGTAGAAGATGGATTCTCATTAGCTGCTATGGTTCACTGCACTTAAGAATAATTGTTGATGGACTAAATCTAAAAGATGTTAGAGCGAAGGTAAAATATTTAACTTACCAACAACATGATCAGATATTACAAAAAAAGCTACACAGGCCTTCCATATGGCAATGAAAGAAGTCATGAAGGGATGGTCTCCTGGCAGCAAGCAGGTGAGGTCCGGGTAATGACTCGGTGATTAATGACTGTTGGTGGTCAGCACACTGCAATACAATAGAGAACAAAAATATCATCTGGGTAGGACTTGCCACTTCCTGCTTTTGTGCAAAAAATATTTCTTGTATTCAGTGACCACATTTAGAGGCTTTTTCTTCAGCTATGATTCTTCTTATAGAAAAGAAAGAGCTTTCTTCTTGAGCCCCCAGATCTGCTCTTCATCCCCGAATGGAGTTTCTTGTATTAGTTTTATCATCAAGTAGAAGCCCAGGTGCAGGAATGTTCCATCGTAAAATCCTAAGGGAAATGAATGAATGAATTCACCTGTCTAAAGTTTAATATATGAATATTAAAGTGGAATTAAACTGTATCTGAGCGCCACAAACTGAAAACTCTATTTATGCTGCTCTATTTATTTCAGGTACTTATATAGCGCCGTCAATTTACGCAGCGCTTTACACATATATTGTACATTCACATCAGTCCCTAACCCTCAAGGGGCGTACAATCTAAGGTCCCTATCTCACATTCATGCATACACATACTAGGGACAATTTAGACAGGAACCAATTCACCTACCAGCATGTCTTTGGAGGGTGGGAGGAAACTGGAGTACCTGGAGGAAACCCACGCAGGCACAGGGAGAACATGCAAACTCCAGGCAGGTGGTGCCGTGGTGGGGATTCGAACCAATGACCCTAGTACTGCCAGGCGGAAGTACTAACCATTTAGCCACTGTGCTGCCCATTTATACCTGTAGGACTCCAAAGTTGTGTGACTTTGGAGTTCAACTTTGATGCAACTTTGGACGGGTGCGACTTGGATGTGACTTGTCCCTCTGCAAAGTCAGACTCATTGTTGCACCATTGTTGCATGTAAAACATTCAGGGAGGACTTTCATGCAACTTTTGAGCGTTACTATGACAGTCTATGGCCCTGAAGTTGCATGAAAGTTAGATCAAAATAGTGCATGAACTACTTTGAAGTCACTACAACTTTAACTCGCACAGATATGAATGGTTATCATTGGAAAACATGGGGTACAACCAAGGGCGGACTGACAACTCATGGGGCCCCCGAGCAGTAGGGGATCATGGGGCCTCTGTGTCCTTGCTCAAACTCAAAAAAGCCTATGAAAAAGGGACAAGGGGCATCTCAAGAGGCCCCCTACTGACCCCGGGCCCTCTGGCAGTGCCCGAGTTTACAAATGGTCAGTCCGCCCCTGGGTACAACTTGTCATGTAACTTTGATGTCAAGTTGCACGAGTGAGAATGGGGTCTAGATTTAGTTTTAGGTTCCATTTACACCTGTGCAACTTGTCATACGACTTTGGACACTAAAGTTGCATAACAAGTCGTACCTCATTTTTTTTCAGTGATAAATGTTCAAATTTGTAGAAGTTAAAGTTGCAGCAACTTCAAAGTAGTTCATGCACTACCTTGGTATGACTTTCATGCAACTTAGGTGCCATAGACTGCAATGTAAACCATCAAAAGTTGTCGTATGAAAGTTACATTTGAATGTTATACATGCAACCGTTGTCCATTATCAATAATTTAATGTGGTAGTAAACTCTTATCTTGTACTTTTACCTACAGGTAAGTTTATAATAAAGCTGTAGGTAAAATGAATATCTCCTAACCATGCACCGTTTAGGAGATATTCACACTTTTTAACCCCCCTGGCGGTATTCCCGAGTGTAGCTCGGGGTAAAGTTTCAGCACCACAAGCGGTAACCCTGAGCTACACTTGGGAATACCCTGCAGCGTTGCGCCGGGATCTGTTCTTCTCTTACTTTGTCCTGCGTTCCTGCGATGTCCCCCCTGCAGTGTCCCCTGTAATGTCCTCCGGCGGAGTCCGGCATCTGTCATCTGGGTTCCATCCCCAAAACCAAATTGGTTTGTTTACACAAGGACAATGAGGCTCCATTCACATCTGTGTGTTTCCGAGTGCATGGTAAACTGCACAGAAAATGCACACTTTGCCATGCGTTTCAGAAACACGCTTCAAATGAGCATCGTGGTTGTGTTGTCATTTCATGTTAACCTCCCTGGCGGTATTCCCCAGTGTAGCTCGGGGTAAAGTTTTAGCATCAAAAGCGGTAACCCCGAGCTACACTCGGGAATACCCTGCAGCGTTGCTCCGGGATCCCTGTTTCACTTACCTTGTCCTGCGCTCCTGCGATGTCCCTCCTGCAGCGTCCCCGGCCATCTCCTCCGGCCGATGCCGGCATCTGTCATCTGGGTTCCGTTCCCTGCGACGTCGGGACGTACGGGGGACGGAACCGGCAGGAAATTTGAAAATGACAAAAAGTGACATTCACTAAATACACTAAAATCACATAGTATAACATTCCTGTATCCAACCATTTCACATACATTTTGTCCCGAGTGCTTGTCCTGCACCCTGCCTGCATTTTTACTGTTCTTTCTGCCTGGAAACTGAGAAACGTCCATGGCGGCCAAAAAGCGTCTCTTTAGGTCAAAAGCGGTTTTAGACCGGCTAGAGAACAGCGATAGTAAATCAGAACCACTTGCAGAATTGAGTGATAATGATTCATGGGGGAAATTCCTCATCAGACACTTAAATGGATTCTGTGATTTTGCTCAGCGATGTGCGAACTTGGCGCTCTATTTCACATTTCAGTGTTTTTGGCTTGATTACATTATTGAATTAAATTTATTATTATTATTATTAGAGATGAGCGAATTATTCAAAAATTCGGTTCGGCTGATTCGCCGAATTCGCGGAATAAATTCGCTTCGAGCCGAATATATTCGCTACGAATTTAATTTATAAAAAGGTGTGTTTCTAGGCTTCAGAGAGCCTTTATATTAGTGCAGAACACTGTACCTTTAATTTAAATGCCCTTGGAGTCTGCTGTGGAAGAGAAATAATACTGTCAGTCAGTATGACATGCAGATGAGTGCCGTCGATCTTAGAATCACCGCACACTTCACTAATTTGGGCAGTCACGGGGCCAAAACCAGAGTGTGGAGCCACAGTGTGGCGGTGGAGGCAGCAGCAATGGGAGGCCATACAGCACCCTATGACAAAATGGAACCCACCAGCAGTGTGAGGAGACCTGAAAGTGGCACATGGCAGAGTGTGGCGATGGAGACAGCAGCAATGGGAGGCCGTACAGGGACC